GCCCTTTGCTAGTAATTGTAATAAAAATGGTGGGGAGGGCAAGTGGAGAGCTTAAACCATTATCTTATAAGCTTTTAAAAATTTTTTTCATAGTCTTATTTCTGTGTACATGCATACACTGATTTGAGAAATATGTTTGTAAAATATGGAATGACATCTTTCATGAAATGTGTTCCTTCATGAGAGACTTTGATAGTTTGAGTAGAGTATTTTGCTTGAACCCCAGACTTTAATGATACTGACTTCTAGGCTGAAGTTCCTAGTATATTAAATAAACTGCACTAAGTTTTGCCAGCTTCAAAGACAAAGGGGAGAAACCCTGCATCTACTCAGATAAAGCTACCCTTTCCTTGGATAGAAAGTTCCTTTATAGCTTCTGTGTTTATCAGATGGGACTGTTAAATTCAGGTTAGCAGAACTAAAGATCCTTGGCTATTTTCTCAAAAAAAAAAGTGTATATCTTCATTTAAAAGCCCTGATGAAGTGCCTATAAGAGATTACAGGCTAATGGGAAAAGAGATAGGAGCTGTGATTGCACCAGCCTCATGTTCTGGAGTGCTTTAATCTTTCTGAAACTTGGCTTCCAAATTGAGAATGGTTAAGCAGCTTTAATTCCTAATATTTAAAAAAAATAATTAAGTTCTTAATGCCTATTTCTTCTTATTAAGAGCAGTAAATGCATATGGATTAGCAATTCCCAGGCCTATTTGAAAATTAATGGGGTGAGAAGAGTAAGTACTTTGAAAATAAAGAACATAGGGTGTTGTCAGAGAAACTTCTGGGCAACAAGGCGACTTCAGACTTCAGCTTAGGTACTCTTTCTGCTATTGCCATCCTGCTGATTTAAGCAGTCTTCCCTGACAAACAGTTGCTTTTAGCTGAATAGTCTAAAGCAAGACTCATGCCTGTAGTTAAAATATGCTAAAATAAGTTTCTCTTTGCAATAAAATGGATAAAGCAACTTTAGTAAGCTCAGTATCGTAGCAGAGTATCCTAGCACACTTGTGCATACGTGGATGTGTGAAATTGTGAGTGTCTTTCTGATATTTTTTATGTTTTCTAAGTAATGAAAGCAAGTATATAAGTATGCTCTGTATATGAGCAGTTCTCAATTTCTGTGTTGTTGTCAGTATACAGCTTCTTACAGAAATGCTAAAACACAAGTTTGTAACTGGGTTTTTAACTGCCTTCTGGCACTGTGCTTAAAGTAGAGCTTTTGCCTTTTATTTTAAGAGTGTGGGGTTTTTTTAGAAAGTATGTACCATGTCTGCCTTGGAAAAGAGTAAATAGATCACAGCAGGAAGATAGTTCAAAGGAAGAAACAAGCATTTTATATATGTGATAAGCTTTTAAGGTTTTTTTAAGCTTTTCCCATGGTTATCCTGGTTTGTTTTTTGTTTTCTGTTTTTTGGGGGTTTTTTTCAATTTGTTCTGTCTGTACTCCCTATAGTGTATTACTAGCATGGGAATTTTAGGTTGTGATAATCATTATGCTTCATTGTTTAAAACAAACAAAAAAAAATGACAGATGATAACTTCAACAGGATATTGCATGTAGCTGTTCTGAGATGTGCCTACCTGACACTTCATATAGCTGAAATCAAAATCTCATTTGCATACTACACCCTGTTCACAGCTGTTTTTTTGGTTTTCTGTTTTTTGGGGTTTTTTTTCAATTTGTTCTGTCTGTACTCCCTATAGTGTATTACTAGCATGGGAATTTTAGGTTGTGATAATCATTATGCTTCATTGTTTAAAACAAACAAAAAAAAATGACAGATGATAACTTCAACAGGATATTGCATGTAGCTGTTCTGAGATGTGCCTACCTGACACTTCATATAGCTGAAATCAAAATCTCATTTGCATACTACACCCTGTTCACAGCTGTTGGGTATTTGTAAACAATTACTAAGAGACTGTCAGTGCCATAAACTTTTTCTGGGTGCAGCTAAAGTAACTTAAAGGATTTGGTTTACAGTGAACCCTCTTCCTTCCTTCACCTACTTTTCCTTCTGGTTGTTCACAGCTGCAAAGCAATGCCTGCAATGATGTAGTACAGCCTAAACAGGGAATTGAAGTGAATAGTCCTGACACATGTGAAGACTCCTGTCTAAAATGTCAGCCTGTATCTTGTTCATCTCCATGCTGAGGTGAAGAGGGTAGGCACTGAGGTGGTATACAACAGCTGGAGCACTGTTGTGTAGAGTAGGAAGGTGTTGAAGGTTCAAAAGAATCTGCAAGATTTTTGTGTTCAGTGGATGTGACAGCCTGAAGAGCTGTCTCAACTCAATTCCAGTTTCTGTAGTAGCTTCTTGCAGTGTCAAAGTATCTGTAGCAGGATGGTGGTTATGAAGACAAGGTGTGAGGATGGGGTAGAAGGATTGACAGCTTGATGTTAACCATGTTTGGTTTGTGCAGACTGACAGTTCATTAGAAAATTCCTGTGAGAAAATGCCTGAGATGAAATATAGTTGTTACCAGACACAAGAGATGTAGTAATTTTTTTTTTAGTAATTAGCAAAATTATCTTATAAGCACATGCATATATTTCACTTTGCAATTTGAAGGAAATAAATTAGTCTGATAAAAAGTTACTAGAGAAAGCATTGATTCAGCAATTCTATTTCCAGCAAGTCTGTTGAGAAGCTTCAGTTTTGTTCAAAGCCTATATAGAGATGTAGTATCACTGAATCTACCATTAAGGCAGAGCTGGACAAAGAAAAGATGGTTGTAAAATTCATAGCTGAATGTGTTTGTCCTTAATTTCAATCCAGTTAAAGGGAAAGAAGACTTGTCCTGGTTATTAAAACCTATTAGCAGGACAGGCAGTGTATACCTGTAAAATACTTTGTATGGCTTTATACTTTCAGATAAAGAGAAAATGTTTTTATATCAGATTAGGTAAATTTTGGTTGGTATGTTTTCTGCTGTGGACTTTTAAGGTTCCATTCTTTCCTGAGACATTCATCCCATCAACTGAACACACAAGAGTTGTATAAATAAAAGTAGGAAGTGCTTTTGTAATTAGAGTCCAACATAATGTACGTGTTTCTCCAGAAGACTTAATTCAGGTCATCTCAGCCAGTTGCACTGACTTCATTATCCAAGTGTTTTTGTTGCCTGGAATCACGTGAACCTTCTTCAAGGACTGAACTCTTTGCAGCAGACTTGCTTCCCTTCGCTCCTTGGTGCTGCTCCTCAAGCCTGCTCCTGAGGCAGAAGCTGTTGTCTCAGGACAGCAGTGTCTGCCAGGTTGTCATCACACAAATGAAGCTGTGTCATCCAAGTGTGTATTTATGTAATCAGTATTTTTTCTACATTACTGCCTTTCTTGGATCTACCAAATGTGTCTGCTGTGAATCCCCTAGACATGGGACTGCTGAATTCCTTTGGCAAGTCTGAAGTTTGTGAGAAGAGCTTGAGGTTTTTTTTTCCTTCTCCCTTTTAATGCAACTAATTTCCCTGGACTCCTTCTGGGAAAATTCAGCTATTCAGGTGGGAGGTGGCTTTAGACAGCAACTGGAAGTTGGCTGTGCCCTGTCACACTGGTTTTTTATGGATACAAGTCTCCCCTGAGTATTGACTACTCTGTTGAAACAGATAATACATTATCCAGAAATTATGTATTTTTCTGATTATAAGGCATCTTGACTCTATTTTTCTGAACTTGGAAGGAGAATGTTGAGACTGGCAATTTGTAACTTTTTCGAGTATTCTTATATACAATGGAAAAGGCAGTTGGGTAATATTCCCTGGAATATAAATTGATTTTGTTGATTTTAGAACTGATTTTGTTTGTAATTTTGAGGGCTTTTGGATAACTTGCTTTGCAGCAGAGGTATTTCTAAGCACTAGACTGTCTTAAGAAGCCTTTTCTGGGCCATAACTCAAAAAAAAATGTCTATGTCTCTCTGTTTTGTCTAGCATATTCCCTAAAGTTGGAATAGTCTTCAGATTAGATGAGGAACTAGTATGTTTAAAAACAAAAAAAAAAAAAATCTAGGCCTAACTACAGTCAATTGGACTAATAACAATTAGTAATGCCTCAATTTCTTTCAGAGTGCTACTCCTGTTCTCTTGAATCATGGGCTATAAGAAAATAATGTATTGGTGTGATTACTGCAATCTAAACCCAGATAACAGAAGGGGAATGGTTTTTAGAAGCAGAAAAATTGTTACTGTGATATTCTTTAAGAATGTGGAGTGTAGAAATTCTCGTATTCGTGAATATTTCTGGGATAATTCACAATGAATGTTCTCTTAGGAAAAATAATTTCAGGTATTATCATGCAGTTGCTTGAGTACTACCCAGGAGTGTGGTGTGTCATAATCTGTCACATTCCCCCAAATAAATTTTTTAATTTAATACATAGTTCTCCCGTCCCACAAAACTAATGACAAATGTTTGGGATTATTAAAAAAAAAAACAAACTATAAATCTAGGTATAATATAAATCTTATCTTTCTGATGTCCTGGTTTGTGCTTGGTCTTTGGGCTGGGCTAATAACTGGTGTTTAGATAGCTCTGTATCTTTCAGAGATATCCCTGCAGTTTGCCATCCTGCAGATGGCAAGCTGCCATCTTTTCTGCTCCAATTATGAAACCTTTCAGTTTCCCTTTTCAGAGAGTGCTCTCTAGCCAGTTTACTTAGTTTCTGATGTTAAGAAATGTTCTATGGATGTTGTGAGCCCGTCAGCCATAGTCAAAAATTCATTACCAACTTACAAACTGAAATCTTCTGCACGGATTGTCAAACAATTTTTCTATTTTAACAACTTTTAACAGAAGATAGAGCTATAGTTGTCAGATAGGCATTTGGCACTGCTCTGGAGCTTTTCTGTATGGATAGTTAAACTCTAGTTCAGAGTTAAAAGAAAAAGATGTGTTTGCATCTAACTAGGTTTGTTACACTTGAAGTTTGTCAAACAAGTATAAGTTTAAAAAAACCCCATATCTCTAATTTTTTCACCTCTAATATTATTTTTTTCTTTTAAAGTCTAGGGACTCCATCAAATTGGATGACCTGAAGGCAGAAGTGTCCCCACGAATTTCAGCAGAAGATCTGATAGACTTGTGTGAGTTGACAGGACCTAGTCATTCCAAAACACCTGTGAAGAAAACAAAGCCCAGCAAGCCAAAGCTGCTGGTGGTGGACATCCGTAACAGCGAAGAGTATCCTTCAGATCTGAGTGATGGCCTTGCTGAGTCCTGCTTGTGCTAATTGCTTCCTCTCTGTCTGCAGGCTGGTGTGTTGGAGTGGTACATGATGGAGACAGAGGGCTCTGGTAGAGATGGAGTGGAGGTGCTGCAGATCAGGGGTTTTCAGCATGGAGGGGCCTGCTTCACGGAGCAGAGGACAAATGTATTTTTCCCTTCCCATTGTAAATTGTGGGCTTAGTGAAATCACTTTGTACCAGTAGCACAAGGGCTTTAATGTTACATTTTTCTTTAGGATAGGTTTTATCAGCAGACCTTCCCCATTTAATATTGACCAATATTTTGGAAAAGTGTGAGGATTTCCAATTAAATGGAAGAGAGATAGAGAAGAGTTGATTGATCATGTGCTGTGCCAGTCCCTCCGTGGAAAATTGATTCCTATTGAGTGCCTTCAAGCTATGGCAGGTAGTGCAACCATGCAGCCATCCTAACTTAGTTCCCCTAGTAGCTGATAATCAGAAAAGAGTTAAAGGTGTTTTGGAGCTATGTTTTCACCAGGGTCACTACCCTGTCTACACCTTTCATGTGTTCCTTTTCAAGTATACAGTTCTTTGCATAAAGAGTATTTTTTTTTAATTCTTTGAGTTTGTTTTTTTTCCTGAAATAGTGTAGTTGCAGGACTGGGAGTGTTTGCATTTTGGAAGGAGTAGTCCTTCTAAAAGATGTTTTGATATGTTTGAAGTTTATAGTAGACTGTGGACTGATACCCTAATACCCATCTGGTATTGACAGGTAGGAAGTGCCACTAAAAAGGCAGCCTGGTAGGTAGTAAAACTGCCCTTGAGTGTACTGCTTAGTATATCATTTGCAGAAGAAAATATCTGGTATGTAGAAAATTATCAAATTGTCAGCAGTTATGAATATAAATGGGAAACCATAAGAATACTGCATTTAGTGCTCTGTTCATTCTCACAGTAAGGAAACAGGCTTTGTGTTTGTCACAAAATTTCAAGAAACTAAGATAGCATCAGACTCTGTGTTTCTGTGGTGTGTGTTTTAAATATGACAGACTACTTTTAGGTGATTCAAAAATATGATCATTTTGTATATTTTGGTTTTAGTCCTTTTCACCATGTATGTCTGTCATGCTAAACTTTGCTTTCACTTTGTTTTCTTAGTGCTTTGAGAAAAGCATAAGAGGACTTCCAGCAAGTATCAAACGTGCTTCATATTTCATAATATGACCCACATGAAAGCTGAGGGATTGTTTTGTAATGAATCTCATCTTGCAGGGCCAAGACCTACCAGCACTGTTTCATTTGGCTAGCAATTCTAAGGCTTATTTCATTAGGCATGTTAGCAGATATATTGGCAGCCTTCCATTCTTGTTTTGAAAATTATAGCTGCATATTTATGGTCTCTCAGTCCATAGCACAAAAGCCTGGCCTTTTTGTTAATTGTCTTAGCAATTAGAACTTTTTTAAAGACTAGGTCATGTTTCTCTAGCTGTACTCAGTAGTTTAAGTAACTAAATTTGTCCAAAGTTATTTTCTGTCTAAGTGATGATCATTTCAGAACCTGATCGCTAGCAGTGGGAGTTATGTGGTTATAAATGGGCTTGGGGAAATGGGATTGGCACAGAGGAGTGAAGGAGGGATATAATTTTCCCATTCAAAATAGAAATAAACTGACAACGTTAATGAATGGTGCATGATCATCTTTTGTTCTTTCAAATGTTTTTATATAGCCATGCTTTTCCCATAGTATAACAATGATGATCATAAAACTGAAACTGCTACATAAATAATGAGAAACGAATGCTGCTATTACTCTGAGTCAGTTGAATCTTACCCCTATTTCAGGCAGCTCCTTTATTTAATAGAATTCTGGGATTTAATTATAAATTTAACTAGCTTTCTACAAGTACAGTAATAGAGTGACTAATCTCAATATTTGACATTGTGTATATTTTTGCAGAACTTTGCTGTTTCCCACCTCTTCAAAGCTGTTTTTGCTTATAGCTGGGGAAGGGGAATGTTCCAGACATGTATGTACAGTCTATGAAAGTAATTCAGAGTTTTGTCAAGGCCATAGTGCATATTCAAATTCATAAAAAGCTAGGTAGTAGTAGTCCAACTTAAATTTTATTTAAGAGACCTTCACATTCAATATTTGTTTATAAAGTCTCATTGAATGATCATCCTCTGAAACTGAAGGACAGCTAACTATGGTGTCTCAGAGTTGTTTGCTTTTCAATACCCTTTACACACTTGCTTTTAGTGCAGATAATATGCATGGTGCTCATTGTCTCGGAATCTGAGATCATATACATTAGAATTTCAATTTGGATCAAAATAGTAGAGGACTTGTTGGGGTTGACAGGAAGTTTGAGGACATTTCCTGATAATCCCTGTTTAGTTTTGGTTCTCATTTTAAGTGCTCCATTCTTTTTGCATAAAATGCCTCTAGAAGAGGTGCTCCAGCTGCTTATTGCTATTTGGCTCCTCTTAGCAGAGTGGAGTTGAAGTGAAATCCACAAAATTAGGTGTACTGGGGATATTGGTTCTTTAGTACTAAGTATTTCATTTAGCAGATCATTTTCTGTAGTGCTGTGCTGTGTCCTTTTTTGAACCAAACAGCTCTTTATTCTATGCTTGCTTTCATATGTAGTGTTGGAAGATTTTTCTCCATATGAGTAAACAGTAAGTGAGGTTTGTCAAAATACTGTATCACAAAAGACCAATGGTATTGTATGGTGGCAGTCAGGATGAAGAGCAGGTTCATCCTACAGCTATTCATGCTCCACAGGTTTCTCTGCCTTTCACACCTCCTTAACTGATCCTCCTAAGCTTTAACCGTGGCCACATTTCTGGCAGCATCAATGTCCCTTTTGCATCAGCATTTACTGCAGATGGGGATCTCATCCAGTGCCCAGCAACTGCCACACTTCAGAGCTTTAAAGGAAGAGTTGTGGTGATTGTGGGAAATGCAGTGAAGAACACAGCTGCTGTAAGTATATTGCTGTAATGTATGTTTTTATCCTTAGACATACATCAATAGCATGCATATGGCAGTAGTAAAATAAATGCCAGAGTCTGGAAAATTTAGATTAGAATTTTGTGTATAATGACAAGATTTGGGGTGGTGTTTTGTTTTTGCTCATTTCTGCTTCTAGACAAAGACGTTTCCCTTCAAGTGGTCCACATCTGAGAAGGCTGATGTTTTGAAATGAAATTGCTTAACATTATCTTCTTCAGCTTTAAAATCTTTATTGTTGTCATGCCAGAGAAGTGACATCAGCACTTCTAATGTACATCAGTAAGAGCTTTCAAAATTGGCTTGCATTTACTTTTTTTGGAGTTAGGAAGGACGCATAAGGTGAGCTGGATGGGGACAGATAAATTATGGAGTGCAAAGGAAATAAGATATAATTCATATTCCTACTAGTAAGAAACAATGTATTGCCCAATTTTTTAGAATAACTTGTTCCTGCAGTTGTGCTTAGTGAAGAGGAGAATGATCCTTACTGGTAACTTTTGTATGATATATTTATTGTCATTGCCTTTAGCTAGACAGGAAGAATATTCAAACTTGCCTATTCCCAATATAACAAAATACTTGATGGTGTTGAGAACTGCCAGAGTAACAAGTGAAAGTGTATAAGTATTTCTCTCACTATACTTCTCTCAGATGAAGGAAAGTTATCCTTTTTTTTTTCAGGGACACTCTTAATTATGGTTTAACTTTAGTTCACCCATTTCTTAAGCCTGTTTACACAAAGGACATGAACTGTAACCCTGATATGACAAGGAGTGCTGTGAATCATTAAAAGGTCTTCATGTCAGGAACAGCAGAAGCATCAGCCCAACACGTGGTGTTCATTTAATACCTGTAGGGAGTTGTAAGTAGATGGAGAAATCCCCTTTATAACCTGCATTTCATCATCTAGAAAATTAACTTGTGATATGTATCAGGTTTCTTAAATGGTAACAGAGATGGCGTGAAAGAGACTGTAAACCATCTCTCACGTAGTTTCAGTAATGAGTATGTAGCTTTGTGTGTGAATCCAGCTAAGTTCATTTTTTTAATGTTTCAAAATTTTTGAAATGAACATGAAATGTTTCCTTTGCTGTGCAGCTAAAGAAATCTTGCAGTGTGCTTAGTGCAAGTACTGCAGTCACATGGGAGGTGCTGGCTTATCCTCTAAACCCAGATTTTCTGCAGCCGAGACAATGTTGACCCAGAATTGTCAATATTGTAGCTTTCTATAAAGAAGAAATTCTGCTTTGTCTCTTGATTTGCTTTTAGGGTTCTTGAATTCCTATTTACTTTTTTTGGAGTTAGGAAGGACGCATAAGGTGAGCTGGATGGGGACAGATAAATTATGGAGTGCAAAGGAAATAAGATATAATTCATATTCCTACTAGTAAGAAACAATGTATTGCCCAATTTTTTAGAATAACTTGTTCCTGCAGTTGTGCTTAGTGAAGAGGAGAATGATCCTTACTGGTAACTTTTGTATGATATATTTATTGTCATTGCCTTTAGCTAGACAGGAAGAATATTCAAACTTGCCTATTCCCAATATAACAAAATACTTGATGGTGTTGAGAACTGCCAGAGTAACAAGTGAAAGTGCATAAGTATTTCTCTCAGATGAAAGTATTATACTTCTCTCAGATGAAGGAAAGTTATCCTTTTTTTTTTCAGGGACACTCTTAATTATGGTTTAACTTTAGTTCACCCATTTCTTAAGCCTGTTTACACAAAGGACATGAACTGTAACCCTGATATGACAAGGAGTGCTGTGAATCATTAAAAGGTCTTCATGTCAGGAACAGCAGAAGCATCAGCCCAACACGTGGTGTTCATTTAATACCTGTAGGGAGTTGTAAGTAGATGGAGAAATCCCCTTTATAACCTGCATTTCATCATCTAGAAAATTAACTTGTGATATGTATCAGGTTTCTTAAATGGTAACAGAGATGGCGTGAAAGAGACTGTAAACCATCTCTCACGTAGTTTCAGTAATGAGTATGTAGCTTTGTGTGTGAATCCAGCTAAGTTCATTTTTTTAATGTTTCAAAATTTTTGAAATGAACATGAAATGTTTCCTTTGCTGTGCAGCTAAAGAAATCTTGCAGTGTGCTTAGTGCAAGTACTGCAGTCACATGGGAGGTGCTGGCTTATCCTCTAAACCCAGATTTTCTGCAGCCGAGACAATGTTGACCCAGAATTGTCAATATTGTAGCTTTCTATAAAGAAGAAATTCTGCTTTGCCTCTTGATTTGCTTTTAGGGTTCTCGAATTCCTAACAAAAGAGTTTTGAGCTTTAAATAGTAACAAAACACTGGATTGACCAGTTTGACCACAAATTAATTCAATACTAAAGCCTAAATACTGGTTGGAACTCAGCAGTTCTATCACACCCTTAAAGTACATATAACACCAGCCTCAATTTGACTGTGTAGATAAAACCTTTTCTTTTGTGAGTAATTTTTTAAGGCCGGTTTCAGTTTTACTCTGCACAGCTGCACAGAACTGTCTGTCACACCCAAACTATGTAGCTCAAGGCTTGACAAGAGCAATAGTTATTACCTTTTAAATTTTACTAGGTAATCCAATCAGAGGGAAAAAATTTAGAAGTGAATGCATGGAAACGAAACCAATTTTTGTCTATGTTATAAGATGCTCAACTTTAAATATATATTTTCTAAACAGAGGTATGTATTTCCAGATGAAATGAGATGAGCCAAAAGTTGTACCTTCTGCCATAAAGAAGAATTTTTCAGGAGTGTTCACTGATATTTACTCCACTAGAAATTTGGAGATTACTATATGTTTAGTTTAACAATTTAGTTTAAATTTAGTTAAATTTATATAAGACTGAGAGGCAGGGGTAAGTGTGGAAAAACACTAATTGTTTATAGGGCTGTTTGTAATTAGAAGGTTGAATCATCCAATTGTGCTTCATATGAACAGCCTACTTGGCATTACTTTAAAATAATGTAAAAAGCAAAGTGAAGTATACTGAACAGACCTGTTGAAAAAGTATTTTCGTCCTTCATTTCTGTTTCTTTTTTTTGCATTTGATTTGGTGCCAGATTATAAAAAATTTAAATTTGAAAGAAAATGCTGTCTAGTGTTATTATATTGTGAATAGAATATGAGGTGTGAGAGGGAAAACTGAAAGCTTCACCACAGCACTGTTCCAGCAAGAGGATAAGGAAGCCAGCAGTGTCTCATAGTGCCTCTGCATCTGACAGCTCTGGTTCTGGTGGAACACTTCCTTAGTACAGAATTAAAACAGGGTAATCCTGCATGGTAAGCCATTGATGCTACTAACCTTAAAAGTTAAATTAATATATTGGCTGATATACAAGAGCCTTACTGAATGCACCATTAGCAGCATGAAGATATTGAAAAAGAGGTGTTGTGTGGTGGTGTTTGGCTCACACTTCTCTGGAGAATATTCCTTCCTTTTGTCTGCTTCTCACTTGGTGCCAACTTTTCTTCTAGGTTTTTCTGGGCACTTGTTAACAGAGCACATATTTGTTGGTCTCTGAAAACAGCAGGAAACCTCCACATAAAGGGCATTATTTTGGAGTCCATCAATCAGATGCCTTTATTTATTTATTTATCTGTATTTATATATTTTACTTTTGGATATGTTAAATGGCAGCATCTCCTAAGTGAGTTGAATGCCCCTTTCCCACCTCCATAGACAGAAAAGCACCTTGTAAATTCCATTATGGACAAAGGATCATTACAGTTGGGAATATAGTAGTTAAATGGGCAATGAGTGTTCAGCTGTAGCTTGTTCTTTAGTATAGGACAAATAACATGTCTCCTGATTTTTGTCACTTTGGAAGTCAGAGATACAGCAAGTGAAAAGGTGGATTATAGTTATGCATATGTAGAACAGGGATTATTTTGCATCTTTTTATGGAAGGGTGACCTTACTTCATCTTCCCTCCTTCAGTCAGCTTTGAGGTGCTAAGCCATTATCTGTTTCCATTTCAAACTTTTGTCTATATTACTGCAGTGTTGACTGAATTTAGAACAGGAAAAATACCTTCCTTACCTGACACTAAATCATTTTCTAGAAATTTAATTTTGACAGTGGCATACTTCTACTTCTGTCACATGGTTGTTTAATAAATGTGTTTCCCCCAGTGGTTTAATATATGAGCTTTATTGCCAGCTATAGGCTATAACAGAATAAAATATACAGGATGCTTTAATCTGTCTAATAATTAGCAACTTATTTATGTTCTGCTTGGAAGAAGACAGATAAGCTGTAAGTCAAAGCTTAAAAAAATCTGTCTTTATAACTGGGAAATAAATTCTAAATTGTAAATTCTAATTGTAACATCAATTACTTTTTGTCTAGATGAGCTATGCTGCTAAAAATATATTGTCTAGACAACTTCTGTAAGTTACTGAAGCAAAGTAGCTATTCTAGCTGCATTGCAATAGCTAATAGACAAAATATATTCATTATCTCCAAAACAAAGACCATAAGTTCTGATTTTCCATGAGATCTTTCTGACACTTTTCAAGGCAAGGGGGAGGCAGTCAAATTCAAAATTCTTTTTGTATAACATATTCTTAGCTTGGAAAAAATAATTTTTTTTTTCTATATGAAAACAGCATGTAGCATTCCCTCTCTCCCAGCACACTGTCAAAAAGGCATTTCTTCTTGCATGTGAAGACTGAGGCACATAGGTTAAAGTGTCTGATTACTACTGAATTTGTGGGATTTTATTGTCATCTTTCCCTGGCCTTTTTAAAAGCCCTTGCCAGAGAAGCAAGTCCTTGCATGATTTCTTCAGTTATAAACTTGTCTTAAAACCACAAATGCATGCCTATGAAGCTTGATAGGGTGATCTGAAGGTTAGGAATTGCATAGGATACTAAAGGACAGGTGCTTCTGAAGACAAATATATTTCTTTGGAAGGGCCTAATGAAATCTCTGAAGTGCAAGTAAACAGAAATTAGGCAATAAA